TGATCTTTGATGACTTTATGCATGTATTCCGGATTAGAAATTTGACTGATGATGGATGAACCGGACTAATCTTGCTTCCTCCCTTTCCCCTCTCAGATATACTCCTTTCTGGGCATTCATACATGTGGTACTGTGTCCGTGATCTTTCGTTACGATTACATTCCTTCCTCATTCGCTATCTAAGTGTGCATTAATCGTCTCCACATCGAACACTTTTTCAAATTTTTTTTTGATTTGATTTTATTTGTCCTCAGAATGCCGCTGATTTTGCATGTTTTCTTCCTAGTCGATGAAGTGCCTCATTGTAGTCAGGAAATGGAAGTGTTCGGGGCGGGTTGGTGATGCTGAACACACTCAAAATGGCTAAAACCTTGCCAGAAAAAGTGTTACTAGTGGGTTGTTGAGCCGATATACCTTCAGCTGACCAAAAGAGCGCTTCTGCACCGTCAGCAGTTTGATCACTAGACAGTGCAGCATTGGTCAAGGCAAGCGGAAAATTGCCAGATGAATTAAAGTTATTCCAGGATTGCTGATTATTTACACTTTTTGTGAGTTGTGTGTGGTTCGCTTTCCATACGTCCAGTTGCGGACGTCGCGAATCACCCACCAAGTGGCTTCCATAGCAGAGAAGACTATTTTTGGATGGTATTCCAGAAAGTGGGCTATTTAAGCGAAGGTGAGGGGGAAGGGAACCGAGTAAAAGCAGCTCGCTAAATCCTTTCCCTGAACTACAATGAAGTATACAGCTTAGGGCTGGGCATTGGCGGATCCGGGCGGCAGGGGAGAGGGACAGGGGCATTTGTCACCGCAGTTTAGGGCCAAGCGGCAGCGGGGGGGATATTAGAGTTTGCAGTGAATTGACGACCGGAACGGGGAAGAAAATTGGAAAATCGCCTTCCCCCTCCCCTCCCGCCGCGGCCCTCTCCAAGAAACCGCTCTGGATCCGCCTATGGGGCTGGGCGTGTGGTTTAATCTAAGCAGTCGAAACTCTTACCAAGGAGACTTTGTGGTGATAGTGTATAGTGTAGTATGATTATACTCATATCGGCTTGGCTGCAGCTGGAGCTCGCGCATTAATTCTCATGCTGTAATTTCCTTACCGCATTCCTGTTTGCGAAAAACAGAGGCAGCCGGAAGTAGCTGCAGTGGCAGTACATGCCAACAATAATAACCTTATGCTAGTAAGAGCATACGTCACCTTCTCGAGGTCCGCCCAGTTGGTTGTTTGTTTTTTCGTAGATCCCACTTATTAATATAAACAACTTCCGTCTGTTATCGGCGAGGCGAACGACATGCTTTGCCCATCGGATTTTACCTTTGGCCTGAATGCAGTGATGTCTTGCGCGCTGTTTATCTGGTACAGAGTTTGATGGCTTAAATGATTATAAAAGGTATGCTAAGCATCCTTCACCACCCCACTACTTACAGCTGTGTTAACTCTCCTACTTTCCTCAGTGCCTACGTTT